GCGGTAGGGATGATGGAGTAAGGGTGTTCTGAGTGAAGCTGGAGGAGATTTGCAGCAATTTATCTCATCGGGTAATCATTTTTTAAAATTTAAATATTCAGCATGTATTCTGATTACCTTTTAAATTTTAAACTATGCCATAAAAAGCTAGCATGATATGGTAGAAGAATTCCATATATGATACCATATATGATATCCACCTTTCCCACATTTACAGGTTTTGTATGTCCACTTGAGATGGGGACTTTCTGGAAGCCTAGCACAACCTTCGCTTCCTTGCCCTCCCCTCTCTCTCTTCTCTTTTTTCCTCCTCCCACTCCTCTCCCCTCCCCCTCCTCTTCCATTCACACTCCATTCCATTCCTTCCTTTCCAATGATGAAATTCAAGCTAGAGTATTATCTAGCCAAAAGAAACTTTTGAAGATTATGCATAGCTGATCTGCAAGGAAGGCTTTGAGAGGAAGAGGTCTTAGCCCAAGTAGTGGGACATGAGGATGAAGATTCAGGGACACTAAGTGGTGGCAGACCCAGGGCAGCAGGGCACCATGACAGAAACGAAGAGTGAAGGTTTACAAGAATAGATCTGTTCCCCTGTGTTTCTTTGCAGTACTTTCCACTTACATATCTAGCATCATTTTGATCTCTTCTATTCCCAGAGATGTTATCATAGTTGAAGGATAAGCTCTACTATTCCTTCTCCAATGACATACTCTCTCATATTACTCATCTGAAAGAAATCTCCTCTAATTTCAATAAATGCAAATGAGAAAAAAATAAAATCTTGAGCAAATGATATACTCGTGGGCTTTTTATCTGTACAAAATTAACTTTTGAGGACAGGAACCATGGCTGATTTATTTACCCATTACATACAGGTAAATCATAGAGAATTGCATCCTATGAACTTTTAAGTATTGTCTGAGTTAATAATTGAAATATTCCCATTAATAGATGCATATAACAGAAAATTTAGTTCCGTATATAAAATTTCTGAATTATCCTGTTGCAGTTATTTTCATATTTAGATTCCAAAATTGTAAGTGAATAAAAACTCTGAAATGAATATATGTAAATCACAAAGAACAGAAAACTTGAGTGAAGAAATCTTTTAAAGAAGCATGATAAAATTAGAAAATATTTATGCATATAAAAATTAAAAGTTGGCTTTACATAACATCAGTAAAGATTTGTCTTCTAGAAACGTATGTTAGATATAAAGACAACTGTGATAATACAGATATGGTAATGTTTAGATGCAAAAAAAAGAGCTATAGATGATGCTAGTGAAGATTAGAAGTTCAAGAAATGGTAAATAAATGCATTCTGACTTTTAACCAAATACTTATGCAGTAGAATTATGTTAGAGAGGAAAAGTAAATGATATTCAGAGATTGGACAGCAGATTAGCATAAGGAACTGTGGATTTGAGAAAAATCAATACAATTTTAGCAATCTTTGAGTGAGCATGTGTGCATGTCCATGTGTGTGTATACATGCTGGAAGTTGAATGTGGGTCTTGAGCATGCTAAGTATGAGGTGTTATCAAAACATAGTGAATGTTTCAATTGTTTTAGAAAAATTATTATGCTAAAAAACAGATTGCCATTAATCCTCCTCAAAAAACTTCCCTTAAATTCAAACACACTTATCCATTCTTGCCATTTCCTGAAGCAGTTTTAGAAGTACTCTCTGATATTATAATGTGTGATAAAATTATAGTTTTTTATAGTGAATACTTCTACCACACGCCATCTAAGGGAAAGGCAGGCTCTTAAAGACATTACAGTATGTCCTCATCCACCTTATTCACTGGATCTGGCACCTGCAACCTCTGGCTCTTCCCCAAAGTCAAAATGGCCACAAAAGTTAAATGTTTTGAATCAGGATATTGAAGCAGCTATGAAAGTACAATGAAAGACACTCACAAAATAGGACATACAGATATGCTTAAGAAAGGGACAAGCGTGACGGAATAAGTGTATGTGTAACTAGGCAGTATATTTTGAGGAGGATTCATGGTAACGTGCATTACTACAATTTAAAAATTTTTTAACACTCACTGTATGTTTTGATGACAAGTTGTACATGTTCTAGCATCGAGAAATACCCCTAGTCATTCCCAAATTAGTGCAATGAGGAAAACAGCTTTCCTTGAGCAACTATCAGATTTTATAGGTCCAGCACAAATGTGAGAATCAAACATTGCATCTTTTTATAATTCTGGTTTCAAATTTTTCACATCTAACTTACATAATAGTACAAAATTTAATTTATGCATTTTTAATGTGCATTCAAACATCTAAAATACACTTCATGTCTCTTCTTGCCTTTGATATTTGTCTAATATATGAGGCTGAAATGAGGCTGATAATAGTTATGAAGACTTTTAAAACAAAATTATGCAAAGATTCAATGGTATGACTTTTTTATATGCACGAAACATGATAAAAATATTTAGATCTTGAAATAGTTTGTTGTCTACAAGTTTAAATTTAAAAGAACACACTCATTCAAGCAATTCTTAAAAAAAAGTTTTGTTTCTGTTATGACTGAAACTGTTAGATTATTAATATTATATATCTGTATCATACTTCATTAATCTTAGAATTACTTAACATGTGTCTTGCATGACAGTGTGACTAAGTTTATCACAAAGCAGCTAAGGTGGCCTGGTCTATACCATAAGACACAATGGATTTCTTTTCCCCAAGTGTAAAACCATTTAATTCTGACAAGTATAAATATAGCTCAAATGCAAGGGGGAAACATCCTTCCCTGGAGAAATGGTCATAGTTATTTCAGCTGACAACTCCTCCTAACAAGAAGGGCTTACTCTGGGTACGGAGAGCAATTTCACTCTGCGGATTTGTCACGTTTTGCATGCATTCCTTAGTAAAAGGATCCATTATATTTTTTGTAATAATTGCAGGATTAAGGGTTTATTTTGGATTTACTTAATAATATCAATGAAATGATTAAAACTATTTCAATGAAAATCTTACAGAGATCCAAGAGCTAATGAAGGCACTGCTTGTACTGTATTAAATGGAACTTAATCACAGAAAAAGAAAATCTCTTCCTTGACCTACATTAAAGCTATTAGAATCCTACCTTTGGCTGTCCAAGAAACAAATAAATAAAAAACAGTCTAATGCTAGTACCCAAACCATGCCAGGAGCAGAAAACTACTACTGAGAAACCGCACCGCACTTACATGCAGGGAAACGCACTTAGATGTAGCGGAAGTTGCATCACAAATACTGTGAATAGAGACACACATGAAGGAAAAAATGCAACCAAAACTCCCTCAAATAGAATTCCTAATGGTAAACTCTTAAGTATGATCAACACTCTGTTTTGCATGAGCCATCACGACTTTCATGATAGACAAAAAGCTCTCAAAAACCTCAGATGCCTTGAGCATCAAAACCTGGCATGTGATAATTTGTTTTAATATTTTAATCAGCAATAATTTCTTTTTAAACCGGGGATCAAACTCACAACTGTGCCCTTGCAAGGCAGGCACTTATGCCGCTGTGCTAAATATGCAGCCCCAATAATTTTAAATATTGACAATTTATTGTTCATATACATAAATACATATATGTTTCAGTACCAGTAAGATAATTGGTTAAAAATATGAATGCTTTCCTAAGGCATTCCATGCAATGTACTGTGTATTTGCTTGTTTGTTGCTGGAGATGGATCTCAGGGCCTTATATGTGCTAGTATATTTATTTTTAGACTTCAATTTGTTTAGATGTATACTCATTACAGTCTTCTCTATATTTTACAATCTCCTTGCAGGATAGAAGGAATAGAAATTCCTTAATAAAAATCCTTATGAAAAGATCATCATACTCAATTAAATGAAATGAATTCACTTAGTAATTTATTATTTCAATCTGTCATGGAGAAAAGTCAGAAAATATGAGGACACCCACTGAATGACTTCACTGATTTCTGAGAAGAGATGATACTAGCGAACAAATACTTAGGAGATACTTTTTATCCAATTTATCAGGAAATTTTATTAGTCCTAGGCATGGTAGCACAGCCCTGTAATCCTAGACCTTTGAGAGACTAAAGTAGGAGGATCACAAATTCAAACCCAATCAAAGCAACTTAATGACACTGAGACCTGATCTCAAAATTAATAGAAAAAGAGCTGAGTATCTGGCTCATTCTAAAGTCCTGAGTTCAATCCTATATACTGAAGAAATGAAAGAAAAAAATTTATCATAATTTTAAACTTCTAGCTGCACCAGTTAGATCAGACTGCCTGGTAAGCATAATTCTAGGTATCAAAAAAAAATCTATTATATATATATAGATATATAGATATATAAAATTTTAAACCTCTGCTATATAGGTTCCTATTAACCAAGCTTATTAAAAACAAGGACCTTTTTTTTCTAACCAGTGATATCACAAGTACGATAATTTGTTATTTTAGTAAAGTAATATTTTATATAGTTTAAACTAAATTTAATTCACTAGATAGCAAACAAGTGCTTTTTCATTGCTTTTAAAGGCCAAATAACCCTTCATCAATAATTTTTTACTAGATTATTACTAAATTTTATGAAAATTATTTATTAATTTAATTTGTATTTTCTCTTTCTTCCGATATGGTTAGAGAGTGATTTTTTAGCAAAGACTTTTAACTGTGAACTTAACCACTGGAGAAAATTTTGTTTTTGAATGTTGTGAAAATATAGTCTCTCAGATAGTGAATGCAGTTCTAGAGAATACTGTCAAAATAATAACATGCAGACTAGGTCATGAAGCAATAAAAGAAGTATTAAATTTCAGTGTTCCCCAAGTGTGATTTCTAATATTAGCATTTTGGTAACAGGGAGAATAGATAGGTATTGAAGAACCATTTCGTGTTACCCTAAGACACAAGGTGCACCTCATTTGTGCTCTGACCCGCGAACAATACCGTGGTGAAATTTCACGCTGGATGCCTACAGACAGGAGTGGTAGCCGTGCCATACCTCTGAGACATAATCTTATAGGCATCGGGCAGGTAGCATCGGATGTTCTCCATCTGAGCTGGGTCGGAGTCACAGATCTTGTCGTCGGTCCTCCCGTAGTTGGCACTTTCAATCATGATGACGTCGGTGCCCGGACAGCGGAGCTCAATGGGGTAGCTCTCGCAGGACAGCTCCCTGCGGACCACGGCCATGGGGATCGGGGCGCGGCTGAAAGCTGGGCGGGAGAAACAACAAGTCAGGGTCACACACACAGGCTCCTGGGCAGGCGCGGGGTTTGCAGGCTGGGTTAGCTCAGGCCACAGGTAGAGCAGCCAGTATTCACAACTGCAACCGAAACAGGCCAGTACAGCAGCTTTTGTTTACAAATCCAACAAAAGCAGTTACTTCTTTAAAATGTCAATTTTTTTCCTCATAAGTGGAAGAAAAAGAGCTCTGGATTTCTACTACAATTTTGGCTGGAGTGTGAGACTAAGACTATCCAGAAATGTGCAGCATCTAGTTTACAGAACAGGCTACTCGAGTAAATCACAGGGGGTTTCTTTCTTCTTTCACTGTAAAGACATCATAACCCCCAAATGGCACTATTGTTGACTAGCTGAGCAAATACACATGCGCTTTAATAAAATAAATATTTGTATGGAGAAATGTCATGCATTCTCTAAGCTCCTTTCCCACACTTCCCCTCCACTGTAAAGAGCCAGGCAAGTGCAATCCAGTGACTCGCCTATTAGCATTTTCTACACAAAAACAGATGTGGTATGTAGACTCCAATCCACTCTTGTACATTTTACTCAGATAAATTTTACGGAAAGAGTATCCTATGTTGTTTGACACTTTGTATTATTTTCTTTATAAATTTAATGATGTATGATGAAAATCTTTTCATTTCTGAATATTATTTCCTTCATTTTTAAAGCAATTATAATGGGTAGATTTTAACTACATATATACATCTACTGTGTTTGTGTATATATACCCATAAATTATGAAGGAATCAATATCTGGAAATGAAAAAACCATCATGTATCATTAAAATAATAAAGAAATAATATGTATTTAATAAATCAAATAACTAATACTGTGTATTAAGATCATATAATAAATAATTTCATAATAAAATAAAATGTATTCTATTAGCATCTAGAAATAACTCAATAGTTTTGGTTCATGTAGTCACACCCATATACTTTTTTAAATAATACTTTGGAAAGAATATCATCATCTAAATATATTTTATGGTACATTGCTACAAGTTAAGCTGATGGATCAAAGAACAAATAAATTTAAAATTTAGGAAGCATCAACTCATTTCAAAAAATAATAAAAATATGCATGTGCAACAATAGTAAGTACTATCATTTCATTTAGAGTTTACAAATTTGATAGAATGGCATATTTTATTTTAACTTAAAATTGAGTATAGTTTGTGTTTTCTACATTTCATATTTCTTTAATCTTTGAGTTGCTTGTTACTTATATCTAAGATTGCTGTTGTAAAAGTTCTCTGTATAGCAAGTAAACTAAATATTTGTCCTTTACATTTGCAACAAACGTTTTTCCAAGTCATTTTATGTTAGACATTTGATAAACATAAGTATTTTTATGCAGAAAATTATTTTCAGGTCAGCACATTATTGAAAAAAGTCAAACTTTTAATTTTAAACAATAAGCCTTTAAACGTATATAATTTAAATTCTAAGTGAAGAGTTTACCAACTGTCAGGTACGTAGATTTCCACACAAACAAATCAGTTATGAATTTACGGGGTAAATTTTCACCGATAGTTAAGTCATTAATGTATACATACATAAACATGGATGTATTTTTTAAAATTTTATTTAAAGAAAAAAAAACAGTAAAAGGATAGAAGTAATACAGAATTTCAAAAAAAATAAAGTTATTTTATCACTAGTTAATAGATTACATATTTCTTCTTAGAAATAGTTGTTCAAGTTACAAAATTAAAGCATACAAAGTGGACATTCGAACAGTGAGACTACAAACAGTTGTGTTCAATGATCCAACACAAACTTAGTAATATGGTCATGTATCTTACACACCTAAACACACTTTCAGTTGTATACTTTAGAGCACTTCCTTTCCCTCTCTTTTTTTACAATAACATTTACACATTTTGGGTTTTATTATTCCCACAGTTCTTATTACTTTTTTTTCCTTTTTGGAAGAGAATAAAACCAAATGTGACAAAACATACATAAAAGTATGTGGTAATCATGATTCCCCATTTTATGGCTTTGAATCCTTATAAAGTTTTCACTCATTAATTGGAATGGCTTTATTCTGGGCTGTTTGACATTACTGTCTGTGATGATATGAACAGCTATTTTGAAGAAAACAAGACATCATAATAGCTAGTGCTGATTTAATATCATTTTGTTTTGAAGTCCCAAACCTATGTATTTAAATGAATGCCCCAAATTTTCATGTGTGTGCCTGTGTGTGTATGTGTGTGTGTGTGTGTGTGTGTGTGTGTGTGTGTGTGTGTGTGTGTTTTTCATGTTTCTAAGCATGAAATGTGAAAGGAAAAGAAGAAAAGAAGAGAGGAGGTGAGAACGGGGAAAACATAATTTTTTTTTTGTCTTTTTCATTTTTATTGGTACGTGGGATCGAACTCACAACCGCTTGCTTGAAAGGCAGGTGCTTATGCCGCTGAGCTAAATCCCCAGCCCAAAACATAAATCTTATAACTATAAATATTTTAACTTGAAATAATATATTGATTCAGATTTTGAACTGTACCTAAAGTATTTCAAAATTAAGAATGACATGAGTTCTTATTTCTATGATAATTTTGAAAAAAAGAATGATTGTACAATAGATCCCACACATACCTCCTGAGCAGGTCACTGGGTTAAAGTCCTCCTGGGTATACCATTCACTTAATTCCCTCTGCTGGTGTTCAACATCTCTCTCTGTCTCTGTCTATATCTCCCCCATCGCCATCTCCTGACCTGATCTAGCACATTCATATCAGAGTTACCCTGCTTACAGGTTGGATGCCACATTATTTTAAAGTTTGCTCAAGTCAACATTTTGGCAGGGTACTTTTACAAGAGAGAGAAACTGAATTTCTATTGTTTGTTCCTTAAACAAATATACTTGCTCAGCATGAAGAAATTGAATTGCCATTTAAACATGATGTCTTTCTCAACACAAAGATGTAATTTGAATGAAAAAAGACATTTTCATTCATGTGTTTAAATTTTAAAAATGGAATTACTGAATAAAAATGCTTCAATTCAAATTGTACACTGATTGTACAATTCATCAATTAAAATTGGATTGTAAGTGTGTTTTTCATCATAAAAAATCAAGATGAACAGAAATTTTGGAGTGTTTTATAATAGATTTTGCACATTTGTTATAAGACAAGTTGTTTCTTAACTTTGTGTAGCCATTTAAGAAAAATTATGTTGGAACAGCTTCCAAACATTGAATTCATCTGGCTATGTTATGTTGACTTAACACATCAATTAAGTTTAAAAAAGTTAATTAAACAAAAATACATAAGCAAATCATGCTGTCAAGGCATTTTGTTAGGCTAAGTGGACAATTTAGCTGATTAAACTCATCAGTCAATTTTGCCAAAAGATTGACATAGCTTTAATCTGAGTCTTCATTGTCAAAAATATGATTTAGAATCAGACATGAAACAGATGGAGTGTCAAATAAAACATAAAGGCACACATTTTCCATGCTTCTCTTTTGAACCTGTAAGTATAATCAAAAGTAAGTATACAGCAAATATTACCAGATCTAGGGTTGATTTGTGGGAACTTTGTTATATTTAACATGTAATTGTATTTGTTTCAGGAACCCAATGACAAGTTATACTCGGTAAATGATGGATGCTTTATTTAAAGAAATGCATAAGTAGAAACGATAACACTACATAATTAACTATTTAAGTTACTTTTAATTATATTGCTAAGTGTTTTTTTTATTGCTAAGTGTTTTAATGAGCAACTGAACTCCAAAGGAAAGAAATGTTTGTTTAAGCTAAAATAAGGGTTTTTACCATTCAGTTATCATGTTAACAAAAGGAATGATTTGGTTACAAGAGAAAAGGGGGCCACAAAGGAAAAATGTGAATCATTCAAAGCAGGTGGCCAGCCTATTTCATGTTGGGATCGAGTAATACTATATTGAACACTGTGCAATGTTGTGCAAAATAGTGTTAATCGTGACCATGGAAGAGTAATGGGGACCGAAGGCAGCAGATAAGGACAGTGCCTCCTTGAGGTCCTGCCCACCTTTGTCCCATGAAAGAAATCTGTTATAACAAGGAATACAGAGTCACTTACTAGATGTGTAACAATATTTCCTGAATAAACTGCTACAGTGTTAGATGCGAATGCGGTACCTTTCTGGTAGAATGCTGGACATTAGAACCATTCACTAAGAATGACTAAAGTACAAGAACTAAAATTCAGCTTCTTAGCTAAGGATGGCCAGAACCCCAAGAAGCCCCTAAATTCCATGTCAGTTACCCACCTAATGAACGTTCTTCCAATCACAGAGTAACCGTGAGGAAATCAAGTACAAAGAAACATCACATAAGGAGAGGAAGACACCCTGTGTAGTCTGCAGGTGAGTTTCAGCAGAAATCACTCTTTAGCCCCTCCTTTCTGAAGCCTGCAGCTATTCTGTTGTTCACACTTTTTCTTGTCCCCTCTCCTTGGGTGCCTCCCTGGTGCCTCAGCTGCTCAGCAGGGTCTGAGGTGACCCACTGCGGGGTGTATGTCAAAGTCACTGCAGATGGCATTTGGGGATTAGAAAAAGGAGGGTCAGGTAATTTCTTCTGGGCCCAAGGACTGCCATCAGATACCTTTGAAGGTAGAACTGGAGGATGCTAGAGGGGGCCTTTCAAAGAAGGCCCTCTCACACCTGACTTAGATCACTGAAAACGTTTCTAAATAAGAATAAGAGATCAACAGCAGAAAAAAGGATAAGAAGTCAGTTGGCACAGTATAATTAGCTCAGCTTTACACATACTGAGCTTAAGGCGCCAAAAAATATCTGAATATGTGCAACAGTCAGATTCATGAGTCAGATGGATTCTAGAACTCAGAAGTACACAAGCTAAAACCATAGCAATACATGAATAGTTCAAAAATTACACTGGAGAAAAAGAAGAATGAACGCAGAATTTGGAATATCAGTGGGCTCCGAACATTTACAGAAATGGTATCT